ATCAGTTAAGAGACATGATATAGCACTTTCAGTATGGGCCAGTGCTAATACGAATTTAAACCTGTTTTGGAGGGCAAGATTTATCAGTGAGTGATGACTTCTTCCTCCCTTCCTCCAACAAAGCTATCAACTTTGGATGAACCACTCCTTAAATTCTTTACAACAACCTTTCCCATTCAAAGGTAGGGAAAACACAATCCTTAGACACTTTAAGGAGGCCACAGAATGATAAATTTATTAGCTGTATACTCCAGCAGTTAAAGTCTCAGAGAAGGCTGTTACACACACTTTGGTTTTGTGTGCTTCTGAGAGACAGCACCATGAATCATGCGTCATCTGACTTGTATATGTGTTTAGTGTGCTTGTGTGTGTGTAATGAATGGGTGTAGTTTTGATGGCACGGCTGTTAGTCATGATGAGCAGATCAATACTGCATATCTTTATCCCCCACACACACACACTTGTTTTCTATTCTTTCTCTTGAAGAGGGTGATACAGATGGGATGGCTAGATGGAGGGGCGGTGAGAGGGCCAAGCTTTCAGATCGATATTCCAGCTGCGCATGGACTCTGCTTTTAGAGTTCACATTCACAGATCTGTACATTACAGTCTCAAATGATCAAAAAGAGCATGTTGTCATGCTTTTTATGTGTTACGTCTTTCAGTTTGAGATCCTCATGTTATATACAGAATGAATCAGCCAATTTGTCCCAATTACATCAAGAACATGAATCTTTAATGATCATCTTCTATCTTGCCAATTGATTACAATTATTTCTTTAGTGTTTTACATTTTCAAGTTTTAGCCATTTCACATTTTGCCAAATCAAATGTATCCGCTCCAGAGTTTTAGCATAATTAACAGTTAATTGTGGAATATAATGAGAAATCATGTCTCTACTTCCTCTTGGTCTTCAGGCTCATTTTACTGTTTCTGTCTAATTTATTGTGTTGTTTTTCTGGCTCTTGCTGTCTTTTTCTGTTGGCTGCTGTCTCTGATTCAATTATTTGCATTCTTGTTCTGTTTTCTACTTTCTCCCTTCACTTTCCACTCACTAAAGTGTCTGAGGAGAGCGAACCTGCGGAAGAGCTACCCAAGTGCCGTAAGTGTATGTGTTGTGAGCCTGTAGGAGAGCAAAGTTTTTATGCATGTGGCCCCTTCCTCAAAAAAACCCACCCCTCCCCCATGGTGACCCCACCCATTGGCTGTTTAAAAGAAGAAGCCCAAGCCAACCAGAGCTATTTGTAATTAGTAATTATCATTAGCACTCTTCTGAAACCTAGTGAGCTGACTTGTTGCTTGCCTGCATAGACAACTGCCTTCTTAGAAGTGGAACCATCACATAAACGCACTCTGTCATTCAAAAGTTTGGGCTCAGTAAGAATGAGCATCAACGAGGATACATTAGATTGAAAATGACAGTAAAGGCATTTATAATATATTTAGCAACACAACTGTTTTCAACAATTGTAATAAATGTTTCTTGAGCAAAAATCTGCATATTAGTGTGATTTCTGAAGGATCACGTGACGCTAAGTAATAGACGTTGGAAATTTAGCTTTGCTATCACAGGAATAAGTTACTTTTTAAAATATTTTAAAATCGAAAACTTATTTTCAGTGGTAATTTTTCACAAAATTACTGTTTTACTGTGTTTTAGATTAAATAACCACAGCCTTGGTGAGCATAAGATAATTATTTCACAAACATTAAAGTCGGCATGAAATCAAATTTGACAAATCTTCTTTTTATATGTAATATTGTAGTGTTTATTATAAATGATTTATCGGTGCACTTCATTATTTATTTATTTTTTAATTCATTTCCCCTTGAAATCTTTAATTAAATAGAATACCCTTCCCTCCCCCATCAAAACGACTCTCTCTCTTTTGGTCTTCGGAATGGCAAAAGGGTGCGGGCAGATCCGATGAGGGTGCTGCTATCGGTGCACCACCTTTCTGAGAATCGCATTCAAATTGTTTGCAACACTCAACCTCCAACGATCCAATCAATTCCCGAAGGATGAAATCAAGCCCTGCCCTACATTTTTTTTTTTTTTAATTTCAGAAGCCTTTTCACCTGGATATACATCACGACAAGGAAAAAAACGACAATCTCAACTTCCGTTTCAAGCCGACTTTAAACAATCTTACAGACCCGAAACTTTCCGAATATTCCGGAATTGCCTTTTCCACTAAGATAAGTAACATTGCCTTGTAGGTTGACCAAAAGGTGTCACATTTGCCCTTGCACGGCATCTGTTGGCAGTTTACTAGGTTGGAACATAGCCTGTAGAAGTGCCATGCTGTGTAGTCACTTTGACTTTATATTGCAATCACTAGCCGCGTTTCCACTGTCAGGCCTAAAGCGGGCATGCTAGTGTGTGCCAGGGCCAGTCACGTTTCCACTGTTACTTCCGGGCTTGATCGGACCTCGTCAGAGATTCCTCTGGGCCAGCGACCAGGGTTTTCTGTCCTGACTAATTCCTTGATCCAAAGCGAGCCAACTCTGGCTTGAAAAGTGGTCTATTTATACTGGACTGTCTGATATCCATATTTAGCTCTACATGTCATAAAATAACGCAACTCCGGTTTTTCAAGCACTTCCTATGATTTTTCTGACTAAAAATAGGCCTATAACTCTATTGGGATACAGTGTCATAAAGCTCCTTAGGTTGTATTTTTGGTGGCATAATTATAGAAATGATCATTCTTTCTAAATGTGATGTAAATAGCTAACTGATGTGACTGAATAAGTAAGTCCTCTTTCTTTTGTGACTAATGTGCAATTTCGACACAAATTCATTAATTTTTATCAATGTTTCACTTTTTATTGTAAATCTGTGGTAAAACATCAATGCTTGGGTTTTAAATCTTAATCTAACAAAAATGCCAGCAAACGATCACTTTTATCATGTTCGTTGATCTCGCTGTTTCCAGTGGTTTCTTTCTGATTAGTTTTCTGATCAAACTTCCATTTGGTTTGTTTTACGGGCTTGTTTTATTGAAGAGCTGTGGAGCTTCTGGCCCGACAGTGGAAACGCAGCGTGGTTTTGGGCTCGGTGCTACTGGCCCGATGCTTTTTGCCCGGCACAGCCCGTTTAAAGCCTTGGCTGAAACTGAACGCGGCTACTGTCATCTCTATGTGTGCATGTATAAGGCAGACTCATGCTGGTTTAGCTATACACATCTTGGTTAGCTGTTTGTGTGAATCGAGCCGGTATCCAGACAGCCGTGTTAATTAGTGCACAAGACAATTATGCACTTCTCTCCGGAGACCTGCGTTTACTTCTCTTAATCTGGTGTTATAAATAATTAAACTTGTATTGAAACCCCCTGCTTTCCATCTGCTCATCTCTTTTCTCTCTCTTTTTTCATCTCTCTCACTGTCTTTTTTCCGAGAACTGAAGAGGGAGCTGTGTAACCTGTTAGTCACTGACCTCTGCGTTGCCTCTTTTGTTTTGTTTTAAAAGCCTCATGAAAGTAAAAGACTATATCAAAATTATTTGATTCACTTCCTGAAAATCTCCATGCATGGTAAGCTAAATATGTACAGTTGAAACTGTGTGTGTGCACAGGACAAGCGAGAGTGTGACCTCATTTACCACAGTCATCATAGCTCTGTGTGGCTCTAATCTCATTCTTCACAGCTGTCTTGTCAAATACCAATCCCGTTACTCACTCAGCATGACCATTACACACTCATTGGCTGTGCCTCAAAATGTTATGAGCTATCTAGACAGTATTTTGGACATTTTAGTAATGTTCAAATTGAATCTACTGTACCTGCTTAGACAGCTTTTTGTTGATGTCCAAGATAACTACTTGGACAGTGTTTTTGGGCGTCATAGACCAGCAAATTGAAGCAATTTACTGGTTGCATTCGCACCACCTGTATGAACCCTGATGTGACATAAACCGGCCAATGGCAAAGTCATTTAAGTGCTGCATTCAACGACGTCAACAACTCCGTAATCTAAAGGTTGTGAGCATCGGCCCATCTACCCGTTTACCATGTTTATAGATTTAGTTTGTGGAGTACATGTAAGTATACGGCGGGTGCCAGTGTTTCATATGGCATGCTTTCGGCCAGTCAATGTACACTTGCGTCACTGGTAGTTCCTATTGTGCTGGATTTACTCTACTCAGAAGTAGGACCTAATTTAGTTTCCCCCAAAAGGCGTTCCTATAACTAAATTTGATTCCAGTTCCTTTGGTACAAACATGCCTAAAAGCGGGTACTTCCGCCAATAGTTATAGGAAACCTTCCTCCAGTGCAAAAGCCCATATAGATCTCTTTACATTGAAGCAACCTATCTAACATTGTTTAGAGCATTATGGCCTTTTAAAAGTGTGCTTTTTCCATTCGGCACAAACTACATTATATAGCATGTTAAAGATGGCACCTTTATGATGGTTAGCAAAAACACACCGTTTTGTGTCTGGCCCTTTAAATACAACAGCTCTTCCTGTTCTCAACATGGACTGTGTGTTCCCAGGGGTGGGGTTTATGTAAATTTTAAGGAGACATTTAAAATTGGGAGGAAGCTTGTGTAGTCCCTACCAGCTGTTTGCTGTAGTCCTTAAAAACAATTTCTTTAAAAGCAAATATCCCCCTTTGCTTTGAACTTTTAGCATTGTAACTTTGCAGATGTTGTTTATGCTCAAACAGCAACATTACACACAAACTAATGTTAGAAAAGTGAAATCATAATCAACCAGCCCTTTAAATGTGTTTTTCTGGAAGCTTTGCTCTTTAATTCTTCAGTGTTTTCTGTTCAGTTGTGTTTAAGATGAAATGCTAGATTCTTTCCCACACGTGATTGACAGTTATGAGGAAAAATTAAGTCCAGGCTAATGTGTTCCCACTCCCATAGCCCATTAGTCTGCTTCAAGCTTTGTGTCATTTCTGTGACTCTGAGTTGTTCACACTGGGGTTTTTGAACATGTTTTCAGCATGCCTGTTGGGTGTGGTAATAAAGTGTTATGATGGTTTTCAGCTCGACGAGAAGAGGAGGATCTGGAGGAGAAGAAATCCATCAAAAAGAGAGTTAAAGAACTGAAAGTGCTGGATCCGAAGATAGCACAGAACCTCTGTGAGTATTATCCAGTTACTTTATTTTGTTTTGTTTTGATTATTTTAAACATTATCTAGTGTAAAGGTGGTAAACAAATGTACGCTTTTTCTCAAACGCCACACACATACACAAACAAAACACCAATCTGACATAGAGATAGTGAAAATAAGCCATAAATAACATTGTAATGTTTTAAATTTGTCTCTTCCTAGCATATTTGATGATTTTCATGCAAGTTATTTATCTCCTGCTCTTTCTTGGAAGAAAGGTGTGGGAGTCAAAATAGGTTTTCAGGTGTCCCTTTTTCCCCCTTGAATCCTTCCATCTCTTTTTCCCTCAGAACCTTGGGGTTCACAACACCAGTCTTGTGCTGTTATAAACAATGTATTGTGTCTCTCTCTTCCTCTTTAGCACATACTTCTCCTTGCACCTGTTTTTCAAGCCGTTCATCTTTTTCTGTCTGTCAATTGCACATATTAACACTGATTCATTTGTCTGAGTGTCTTCGTGGCAACAAGCAGAGTTCTGTAATGAGAGGGGAATGAGGAAAATAAATGTTTCTGAACATCCTGACAGTCAGATCAGATCACTGTCCCTCAACCTTTTTTACCTCTTCTGTCATTCACTTACTTGTTTTCTCACCTTCCCTTTATTGCCATTCTTCTAAAGTCATATTTTGTGACAGATGCAGGCAGGGGTGAAAACCCTACTGCCTTGATATATGAATGTTATCTTGATTCTGCTGAAGTTCTCGTCTGGCCCTCGTCTCGTCTTGTTGAAGTGTTTCAATTGGAGAAGAATTCAAGCTCATTCTTTATTTTTATCAGATATTATCAGCATGCAGTTGACACACACGCATACTTTAAACAGAGTGTGTGTGGACTGTTAATGAACTACTGCAGGGAGCTTCTGATGAAAACTCTCTCCCTCTCCCTTAGCCATTTTCCTGGGGTCATTCCGGATGCCCTACGAGGAGATCAGGAAAATGATTTTAGAGGTGGACGAGGATCAGCTAACTGAGCCCATGATCCAGGTAACATCACCTCTCATCACCATTCATGACCTTTAAAGCATGCCCATGTTAAGAGAGGATAGCCAAAAACATGAGGAATTCAGGGTACATTTTTCAGCAGCCATTTTGACATTAGCCTCTTTCTCACACACAGTCTTTACTGGTAATTTACTATAACAGTTGGTAAATTTACTGGTAAATTACTGCTAACAGATCATGAGTCAACAGGACCTTTTCAAAAATACTGGTAAATTGGTTCCAGCATTTAACATTGCCAGTAAATTACCGGAAATGTGCTCTGTCTGAACCCAGAATGAAGATTACTGTTATTTTTTTTTAAAGGAGGTCATTATATTTTATCATACATATGTCAAAGTTAAGAATTAATTATTTTGATATAGCTTGCATTAGAACAAACACCATAACAGTTCTATATTGCGTTCACATCATTTGCAATTTTCTTAGTTAGTTATTATCAGTATCAGTGGATGTCGTACTTTCAATGTGGAATCTCACATATAATTCTATAACTCTACAATTCGGCCAAAAGCAGTGGTGCATATCAATTTAATATAATATAATGGTAAATATTACTATATTATAATTGATAATTTAATTTTTTTATATATATATATCAAATAACTACAATTTGGCCAAACATGTGTGGTGCATTGAATAAAAAAAGAAGAAGAAAAAAATATATAAATTGAATATATAAAAAATAAATATTGTAATATAGTTACTTATATTATAGTATAGTATGTAATATAATAATATAACATTTGTATTTTATAAGATAAAATAATGGTATATATAAACAATATAGTTACATATATTTGGAATCATATAAAATTAACAACCTGAATCTCAATATAGTTTTTGCAATCTAGTTTTAGTATTAGATCTGCTAATGTACAGGTTGCAGGTTCATATCCAGTCAGGGGTGACCCATGTACTGGAAGTTTACTGAGATCACAAGTGCCTATCATGCCCTTGAGCAAGATGCTTAACCCCTGAATGCACCAGGAGATATATCGTCTCTTCAATTAGTCTAGTGTGTCATTAATTGCCAGTGAGTCGATTTAGATGAGGAGCTCCACTAAATGGCTAGAAAATGGCAACAATTAGATTGCAGGTTAAAGTTGAGCTTCTAATTGGATGAATGTAGCGCACATTCTTTTTAACAGTTCTTTGTCTTGTTCTTTCTTGCAGAATCTTGTAAAACACCTGCCTGAACAGGAGCAGCTGAACACACTGGTCAAGTACAAGAGTGAATATGCCAACCTCTCTGAACCGGAGCAGTTTGGAGTAGTGGTAAGTTATTCCACGCACGAACACGCACGCCCTCTGTGTTGCTGCCACTGTATTCCAAATTCTAAACTGCTTTCTTATCAATTTACCTTTCAGTGTAGTGGGACGTCCAGTTAGAAGTCATCAATCACTCTTTATTTAAACTTTTCTCGGATTGATTTTATGTCCGTCTCCCTACACGAGATTTAATCTCTTATATTGAAACCGATATCATCATCTTGTCACAAACAAAACAACTAAATATTGTACAACCTAAGAAGTATATTGTTTCTCTGAACAGAGAAAGAATTACTGTTATTCTCTAATAGAAAATACATATGGTCGACCTGACACATTAACACATTTTTTAAACTAGTTGTCTTAAATGAAACCATTACTTAGTTTTCGAGAGCACATTTAACTGACATAGGAAAAAGCAGTATTTCCTCCGCTCCTTTTGTTGCTGAATGTAATCACAAAATTGTATTTTGCCATCTGCCATATACATTAATGTATCTATTTATATGGGTCATTTTTAATATTTAATTGTGATAATTAACCATTTAAATGAGCTACCTTTATCATTATAAGACTCATAAAATTAACCAATTAACAACAATTCAATAATGCTGTTAAATGTATTTTATTTTTTTCATACAAAGTATAGAATTTTTTTATTTGTAAAACTTTAATCACTGCCCTTTGTCAGTTTTAGCCATAACATTAAAGTAATTATCAGCATATCAGCATTATTTATTTTGTCAGTGCTTCTCCTCTTTACTAAATTGTTACCAGTTATGATGATTACCAAATTGTTTCCTTGTCATCAAATCAAATTTGTTAAATCTTTGCTAAATGAACTCAACTGAATCCCTTATTGGCTATTGAATTAGCATCTGACTTTGAGTCATCATTATTTCAGTTGTGTTCGTCTAGATATGTAGCAAATTTTGTGAACCTTTTTTAGATTTGTTGTTGTTGTTTTTTTTACAGAAAAATACAGTAAAATACAGACTGCAACCAAATAGTTGAATTTTATCTTTTTTTCTTGCCAATAAAATCGTTTAGAGTTTGCACTGGTGTGTCCACCAAGTTGCTCCACTGATAAGAGCTGATATTTCGGTTGCATATGAAAGACATCAAAAGTATCGTTCAGATTTGTTTTGGTCATGGTCCTGCTGTGTGGCTTCTCGTAAGATTATACAATTCCCCCAAAATCCAGTGTGACATGGCGTACAGCTGGGATCTTGTTCGTACAGTCTGTCAAGCAACAATCTAAACTAAGACTATTATAAATCGGACAGTGTACACCCGGCTTTAGCCTGATTACACTTTCTTTTTTAAGACACACTGGGATGCTGGAACGAGAAGGGGGACTTGCATTTGAGAAATGAAACGGAAGTGAAAGAAAGGTACGAGGGAGTTGCATCATGCAACAGGGTGTTTATGTTATGAGGGATATGGAGCTACGGTTTTTGCATGCGTGGGCAGCAGGAAATGATGCATTTGCAGTTCAGAGAACTATCCAGTTCAAAGGGAATTCTTAATCTCTCATAGTGCCATTGCAAGCAGTTTTGTACTCTTTGTTCTTTTCTCGAGCCAGAACTTTGAACCCTTTGTTTGCATTCTGCTAAGTGGACCATAAAATATAGAATGTGACTACTGGAACCTTAAGATCATATTGCGTGATTGTGTGCAAGCGTGTTCATAAGGTGCTTTTACTCACGTATTCAATGCTTCTATTTCAGCCATGGGCTTTAATGCCTCAAATGAACTGTTTTAATGGCTGCATGTAGTATTTTTAGCTTCTGATAAACTGTTTCGCTTTAGTCATTTGAAGCTGAGCGTAAAGAATTACACCTCTTACTGGAAAACTCTGGGAAGAGAAATATCCTGTTGCCTTGGCAACACCCCCCCCCCCCACACTTTATTTTAATAGGTCTTAGTTCAAGGTGCACAAAAAGAAAAGTTTAAATCAGGCAAACTAACTCAGCCAGACAATAGAGGCAGAAAGATGAAACAGGTGTGTGTATCACGTTCCCCATTGAGTCTTCCAGCAGCCGTTATACACTAGAGATGGAGTGAGTGTGTTCAGGGTCTACTGGGACACGCACACACACACACTGAAACGCTTCTGTTGATCGGCAGGCACTATGGGTGGTTGTGTGAAATGATGATTTAGCTTCCTGATAAAGAATAATACTTGAAACACTTGAAAAGTTGTTCCCCACTGAATACCGTCACATGCTGAGTGGCAGGCACGAAGGCATTACCTCCACTCCCTTTTTGCAGGTGCATTTGAAATTATATTTTAAAGGGTGATTTGAATGGCTTACCTTAAGGAGACTGTGCTGTAAAGTTTTGCTGGTTTCATACTGTTTTCCCTATGGGTGGGTGGATTTGGATTGGTTTCATGTACTTTTTATGAGCAATGGGTAATGTATAGTCAGGTGGTTATCATCACAAAATAAATCTGTCTGTGTGTGTGTGTATAAAAAATAAAATAAAAATAAAATAAAAATAAAAAATAAATACAATAAATAATAACGTGCAAAACTGTTAAATTCTAATAAGATTTTTTGATATTTCTGTTTTACTGCATTTTTGATCAATGCCAGTTTGCTGTCTGTTAGACATTTTTAGTGGAAACATTGCAGCAAATAACACTTTTACACTCTGACTAGATTAACATTTGCATAGCTGCTTTTGTTTGCATAAAGACTCCCAACACTGATCAAAGAGAATATTTGCTACTGTAAGACAGTACTCTACTTGAGATGTGAAATGTCTAGACCACATAATGAAAAAATTGACCCTCTTTACTGTCTTTTTATTTCTCTGGTCTTATTGTATGCACTTCATCTGTGTTTAGCATTTAGCATTTAAAAGTAAATGATTGCTGCTTGTTCTATCAGCTTTCACTGACAACCAAGGCTGTGTGGTTGAAAAAAAAAAATGTTTTTTTTTATAATTTTCAAGATCCAATTAAATCCTGATGAAGAAAGTCAAGCCCCACCCTACAAGCTTTTCTTTTTGAATATTATTTATTTATTTCATGTCGTGTTTATGCATGGTAGCTTTCAGTTCAGATTCTATGTTTGCCAAATTTCCAGTTTCTCATCATTTATTCATTCATGGATGCATCAATATATACTGTATTTTAATATACGGTCCCTCTTTTTTCATTGCACCACATATCCACAAGTATATATATATATATATATATATATGAAGAGTTCAGATGCAAAAGCCTTTAAGTGCCATTTGAAATTTTCTTCTAAAATCCTCATTTTTATCAAGCTTGTATATTTAAGTTCAGTAATTTCACTTAAATGGCAATGAAGATTACCTATTAATTGTCATTTAAGTGAAATTACTGAACTTAAATATACAAGCTTGATAAAAATGGTCATTTTAGAAGAAAATTTCAAATGGCATTTAGAGGCTTTTGCATCTGAACTCTTCATATATATATATATATATATATATATATCTGATCTATGTGATTTCTAACTTTACTGATTATTCCTACTTTTCTGTCATCTAGAAGCTCGAATTAATTATTCCTTATATGTGCTGAGTGTGAGTTTTATGGAGGGGGAGGGTACACAAATCCCCCTCAAACATTTATGGCTGGGAGAGCTTTGAATCGGAGTCTGTTTCATTGCAGATTAGCGCTGCCTGACAACACAGAAGATGTCTTCTACAAGTTTGCTGAATGTTTACACACATAAATTAGGCATTTGGCTTTGCCCTATTTTCTTTACCTTTTCTTCTCAGTGTCCCTTCTTTCCTACTTTACATCAATCTCGTTTTCAATTTGGATTTGTTTTGCTTTTGGTCCTTTGTCATTTGTCTTCAAGGATGAAATGATCCCTGGATTAGTTTATACACACATTCAGACTGATTGCAGTGTGCGTGGAAATACAAGAGAGGATATCTGATTATGGAAAACAACTCTAGACATATTAATCATATCTCCGTATTGAGTATCTCAATTACACCCTTAATTTGTGATTGCTAATTGGCTTTTATAGGTGCAAATTGTGCCCCTCCCACACACACAACTCTTAAATGTACACTACTCTATACACACAAACGCATAGAAGCAATTTGAGATAAATAAGAGTTTCCACCATAAAAACATGACTCAATAACATGTATGTAACTATTCATCTCAACTAGTTTTTATGTGATTCCAGTTAGAATGTAAATGGCATGCATTTGCAATAAACTCGTATATCTGCCATATCTGAAAGAAATGTATTTCATTCAGGAATAAAGCTTTTGTTTCTGATTTAGAGGTGTTGTATTAAACTTAAAATCAGGAGAAAATTATTAGATTAATATTTCCATTTTTGTTTTCGTTTGGTTCTATTTCACAGACATTTAAAGCAACCATGCCTTTTCTGCTTATTTTATCTTCCAGATGAGTAGTGTGAAGCATCTGAGGCCCAGGCTCAACTCCATCCTGTTTAAGCTGCAGTTTGAAGAGCAGGTGAATAACTTGCGTCCAGACATCATGGCAGTGAACGCTGCCTGCGACGAGGTGAGGAAGAGCAAATCCTTCAGCAGGCTGCTGGAACTCATTCTGCTCATGGGGAACTTCATGAACGCCGGCTCACGGAACGCCCAGTCCTTCGGCTTCAACCTCAGCTCACTTTGCAAAGTACGTGCAGAGAAATATTCGTTTGTTTATCACAACAACCTTTTGAGTTTCATATCTAGACCTGGCAGACTTTTTGTCCACATCTACAGAAGTCTGCAAAATGTATTAAAGTAAGTCAAATGTGTTAAATGGATCTATTTGTGATACAATGGATTTCTAAGCCTGCACATTTATAAAACAACAGCTTTCACACTTCTGAATCAAATACATAAAGTTTAGAGGCTGTATTGGGCTGTTTTCCTGGAGAAAGTGTATTCCATGAGAACCTCCCCCAGTGTTAATATTTCATCCAGTAAAACCAGCCCTGAAGTCATTTATGCGTTCTGCTACTGTATCTTTTCTTCTCCTGTGAATTATTAGCCCCTTTATCAGGTCTCTTCGTATTAGAAACACGCCCACCCACATGAACTGTGGGCAATTTCCATCAAATTCTCCTCCTGCTCTCTGTTTTTGGGAAGAAGCTGATAAAAAGATAAATTATGTGTGTCTGATGTTTGTGGAGGAGCCAAAGCTGAGTCACCATCAGGCACAAGCGTCTGGCTGCTGTTTGCGCGTCCTTCACTTCCCTCCCGCACATTTCCCGTTACCTTGACCCCTATCGGTCGGCCCATCTAAAGTGCCTCTCGCTGGAGACGCCTGGCGTTCGAGAAGATCTCATTTGATTTAACACTATCAAGCACTCAAGACCACAATAGTCGTATCTTCTGGCATCTATCAAAGTGCAGAGACCAAAAACCACTTTATGGTTTCTTCTTCTGTTTTCCGAGATAAGTCTCGGAGTAACGACGTAATGCAGACCTGTATGTGTTTGTTGGAAAAAAGGACAGTCTTTAATTCCTGTTTAGTCAGGTGTGTTAATGTAATGCTAATGGATTTTTAAACACAGTACATCTCAGCAAGAGTCCTAGCATTGTGTTAGATAGTTTTGCACAGGTGCACCCCCGTATAAAGCCCTCTAATGATAATGTTTGGGTGAAATGTCCTGATTTAGGTGAGTGGGGAAGGGCAGAGGGGCTGTATAATTAATTACCACAGAAGCCATAGAGATTTACTTAGGTTTCCATGGTGACTTGGCATTGGATTTTATCAGGCTTGATCCACTTGTGCTTCTTTCTTATTAGCCATCCATTTTTTTTTCATTACTACTTTCACTGCTTCCCTTTTCTGTGGTGCTAAAAATCAGAGAACGGCCATCACTGCATTTGTGACTCTCTCCGGCATAATGAAATGCCCTCCTGCTCATCATGTTGCCTAGAAGACCTGATAAAAGACCGAAGGCTGCATGTGGAGATGCTCAAATTCAGACATTTTAAAAAGAATAACCCAAAAATGAAATGTCAGTCATTATTTATTCAGCCCCATGTTGTTCCAAACCCAAATTACTTTGACATTTTTCCATGAAGCCTTTAGAATATAACTAAGAATAATAACAAGTCATTCAGACTACTTTTATTATGTATTTCATAAAATGTGTTTTATATATATATATATATATATATATATATATAAACACATTTTATTTTTTTAATATATAAAAAAAATATATAAAATATATATATATATATATATATATATATATATATATATATATATATATATATATATATATATATATAAACACATTTTATTTTTTTTATAATTTTACTTTTAAAATTTTTTTTTTCTTTTTCTCCCCATATATTTTTATAGTCCATGGGTTTGGAGTTATATTAGGGGTGACTAAATTGTGACAGAATCTACGTTTTATTTTAAATTAGTCATTTATTTAAGAAATACATCTACAGTACTTCTCAAAAGTTTGGGGTTAGTCTTTCAATGTTTTTGAAAGATGTCTCTTATTGTCACCAAGGCTGTATTTATTTGATCAGAAATATAGTAAAAACAGTAATATTGTCAAATGTTACGATTTAAAATAACATTTCTATTTTAATATATATTCATTCCTGTGATGGCAAAGCTAAATTTTCATTCAGCCATTACTCCTTTTCTTCAGTGTCACATACTCCTTTAAAATCATTGTAATATGGTTGTCAAAAAAAAAAAAAACATTAATATTGTTGTCAATGTTTGGAAATCCTGATACTTTTTTTGATGAATAGAAATTTACAATGTTTACGACAACAATGTAATTGTTTTTACTGACACTTGTAATAAAAGTATCAATTGCTTGCAAAAAAATCCATACTATATATTACATGTATTATCAACGCTTGTATTCAAACTTGTCCTAATATTCACTTAAGGGCCTTGTGTATCAGATAGAGTGATCCGTCGTCACTGCCGAGAGGGAGACTAGATCTCTACATCTGCTCATAGTGATGCAGTCCCTGATGGGCAGGAGTAACAGAGAAAGTGTGTCGGTTTCTGCCTTTCAAGTTCCTTGCCTGAGGGCCCATTCTGATGTTCTCTCTTTGCCTCTGTTGATCTGATTGTTTGTTTGTTTTATTCTGAGTTTAACCTGTCAGTATCTTCTTCTTTTGCTCACAGTGGGTTTATCGAGCATATTTAGTTGTCAAAGGAGTTGAAAGCGTTTCACTTTGAGTGTGTGACTCGCGCGTCACAGTTTGATCTCGTCAGCAGAGTACGGTTCAGTAAGTCATGGACGTCAGAATCTCAAGGAATGTTGTTTTCTGGATAACTTTTCCAATTGAGAACTGATATTAAAGATTTGTCACAGACCTCAGTTAGTTAAACTACAGGATAAAATTCGATATTTTGGGTTTCTTTGTTCCATTGTCATCTTCGTACTATTTTGATAAAATATCTGCACAAGCAATTTGTAGAATATTCTTGTTCCAGCCAAGAGGATTTTTAAGAAGCCCTAGTTTCGTCCCCCGCCATTCGTCTAATGCTTCACACGGTTTCCAAATGTTCTGACACTGAAATTATCCAGTTGAACTCAGTGTGTATATCCAGCACAAAGCTTCTGTCAGAACACATGCATTTAAGAAGAAATGGCAGCACACAAGATAGTGGTGAGAACTGAAATGGACTAGATGGGAAGTCAATTTCTCCAATTTCATCTCTCATTTCATAAGGGCCTATTTGGAACTCCATTTTTACTTCATCTCTGTCCCCCACCCCCCACAAGCTTGGTAGTCAAGCTTCTTAAATCATCAAGCTACACAACCCAAAAGAGCTTAATAATGTTTGTGCTAATCAAATGCTTTTTGCTCTGCCTTTTACAAAGGCTCGTATCCTTGTGCCACGATGATAATCATAACTGACAATGAAAATGTCTTGCTTTTCTGGTCCGGCGGCAATTTCAATGTACTATCAAATTAACTTGTCAGACGTGAAAGCAGCGGACGTCAATGGCTTCCTTCAAGATTCTCTCTTCGTTTCTGTTATGCTTTGAACAACCAAATATCTGCATTTTTTTTGATGGATGCATTTATTTGTTTCTATTTTGATTTAATGTTACCACATTAAACAATTGTTTTCCCCGCTTCTGTCTTTCTCTATCTCTCTGTGTCCCAGCTGAAGGACACTAAATCGGCTGATCAGAAGTCCACTCTACTGAATTTCCTGGCAGAGATCTGTGAGGAGAAATACCCTGAAGTGCTGCTGTTTGTGGAGGATCTACAGCATGTGGATCGGGCCAGTCGAGGTACTCAGAACCAGTGTCTGTTGTAAATAAATAAATCTTAAGTATTACAATGCATTTACATTATTGTCATATATATATATATATATTTTTTTTTATAAAAAAAAAAGCAATGCTAATTTGTTTTGCTATTACGGTTTTATTTTTTTGCTATTCATTTGTTTGCCTTAATTATACAATGCTTTAATTAGTCGGATAGTTTGCTGGTTTATGTGGATTTAGCTGCCCTAACAACTCTCTGGCTGACCATCTGAAAAGTGGAAAGAAAAAAAAAGTCTTCAGTTCATAATAGGGCTTGAAAGTCGACTCTTATGACATCATAGTCGAGTCGACTAGTCGCTGACGTCATTCATAAAAACACAAGAGATGGGACTGCTTTGCAACATGCCACAATTTGCAATTTATTTGGAGAAATTTATAGATGCTGACAGACATCTATATTGAGAACGTTGTAAGTGTAGAGACCGTATTTTTGAAAGACAGTCCACTTCGAGAAAACAGGCAGAAACCATCTTTGGAAAAGTCTTGAGCAGTCGAAAGTTTGTGACGTATTTCCACACACTTGATGTACCACTGCTGCTTTCTTGCTGCAGTGTCCCTCTGCGCTCTTCATCTTTTGTTGCCGTCTGCGACGCAGCCACGTTGTTGGTATCAAAATTAGCGTAATAATATGGTCACATGATCGACGCGACTAGTCGCCGTCAACATTAAAACGAAGCTGGCATCGCATCAAGGTCGACTAGTCGGTTCAACCCCAGTTCATAGCTGCTAACGTGAGACGCTACTCTAACTGGTCTTTAACATCACTCTCACATGAACTACCAGTTTCCATGTGTGAGTTTTTGTTGACTTCTGTTATTGTTGTCCTCTGCGCTGCACAGGCTCATTTTGCTGCGCACACTCTGTCATTGACAGTAGTAGTAGTAATAGAGATAATGTCAGCCTGTGTGAGTGCTCACAATTATAAAGCTGGTGAGTTGTGTCAGATGTCTGGATCCTTTTATTGTAAAACTTAATCTCAACACATCACGATTAGAATCCACTAATATAAGCTGATATTTTCAGACAGTCTATGTGTATCTGCCTGTGTGTGTTTTAGCAGACAGGGAGAAGCCGAGGGACCGTTGTGTGAGGTCACGTTGCCCTCGGCAGCCCTAGAGGCAGAGTCACAACAGGACCAGAGCAACTCACTGCGTTACCTAATGTTTCCAGAAACCAGGGCAGGGAGAGTTTTGGCAGTGCAAGTACAAATAATCAAACAGGATTATTAGAGAGAGTGATTAATAAGATGCCCTGCCTATGCAGTATGTCTGTCAGCTTTAGAGAAAGTATTTACAGGGAACGTAAAACTTGTTTTTCTAAATGAAACAAATAAGTCAGCAGGAATTGATGGAGGGCAGGACTTAGTAGTTAGGATTTTATTGGATTGTTAGACTTGTTAGGTTGTAATTTTATTGGGTAATATTGTTGTTCTCTGGCACTGTGGTGTGTTGATTGCATCAGTTACACATGAAAGTTTCACAGGCCGGGAATGTTATTACATTTTTAAATATTTTTAACTATTATGATTTGTTTTATTTATTTGATTCACAGTAAGACCAGGGACATTTATTAAAGGAGTCATATAATGCCATTTTTAAGTTAATATGAATGTCTAGGGTCTAAATGAAAACGTTGATTTGATTGTATAAAAAATACTCATTACTATTAGTGTTTTAAGATAACACTAATTTTACCTCGTCAAAAACAGCTGTTTTCAGCACACCGTTTCAGTGCATATGTCTTTAAATGATAATTATCACTCCGCCCCTATGTTCTGTGGGACAACAGTTGAGGGTATATTTTGGAGAAAGAATAGCAGCGGGAGTCTCTGAGGCCACCTCGGCCGCAAAGAAGTTTTTAAGAGGACGTTTGTGAATGGTTGGTCATTTTGATCTATTATTGTATGCACTGGCAGGGTAGAGAAGTGAGCTATGAACACTGTGTTTACTGATGTATACATTAGTTTATTGACAGATTGATGTTACAACTAATGGTCATGACAAACTTTTTTGGCAATTTGCAAAGATTAATATAATAGTTGTTAAAATTTTACACTCACTTCTGGAGGTGCAGAGGGAACATAAATAGTTGGTACCGATTCTTTTTTTTACAAGCAGCTTCTCAGCAAAACCAGCTTTATACTGACCCTCGTTTATAAAGCGGTCAGGTGAGAAATGATTTGTGGAAACATGAAAGCATTGATGCTCATGGGGAATATTCCCTTCGAAAACAAAACTCAGCCAGTGTGTCTTCAACAGTTTGGATTTAGAAACATCAAAATGACTGTGTTCGTAATTACACCCAAGAACAGAACACCACAATCTCTTGGACGCCATTCTGCTTTAGCGTATCAACAATGACAGACTATGATGACGGCTCGCTCGGGGCGGGGATGTGCTGAAACACTGCTGTCAATCAACAATCGTGGGAGGGCCGTGCGACCGAATGGCTCGATTTATCATTATGTGATGGTTGTGTACACTGCCAACACATATTTCAGTACAATCAACCTGAAAAGTGCATGTACCATTATATGACCCCTTTAAGACCTAATGGGGTTGATTTTTTTTTTTTTTTTTTTTTTTTATTCATGTTGACATTACAAGCTCAATTTGACCTAAAAAAAAAAAAAAAAAATTCATTTAGTTACCCTTAAATTGCTCCAAACCCATATGGTGTGCTTTTATTTTTATTATTATTATTATTATTATTTATTTTATTTTTTTTTTGTGCTTGATGGCTTATGGTCACAATTTAGTTTCACTGTATGGAGATGAGCTCAGACATTTTCCAAAACATCTCATTTTGTGTTCCAAGAAAGTATGGTTAGAGCAATGTAGGTTTTTTCTCTCATGTCCTCTTTCTCCTACTCTGGCTCTGCCTTTTTATTAGTTTCAATTTTTTCCTTTTTTTCTGTCCGTCTCTTTCCCTCCCGTTCCCCATTTCATTAGTGCTGCCTGCTCTTGTGCCCTTCATCAAAGCTGAAATGGCATTATGGGTAACATATCCCCACCACACTGAACGTCTGTCCCTGCACGCCCCTCAGGAAGCAGCCTTTGATTGTTTTACAGATATTACTTCCATTATTCTGTCCTTTAGAGCTCACATTTGCAGGTGTATGTTTTGTTTTTCTCCTGGAGATGGATATGCTTTCATTTAAGAATTAGCTATTGTCATTCCCCAACTACTATTTTTTTGTGTCCCATTGTGGTGCGGTTAGGTCTAGGGTGATTCCCTTCAGTGGCTGCTAATGGAGGGTTAATACGTGTGCGTTTCATTAGTGTTTTTTTTCAGGAGAACCTACTGACTGTTATTGAGGCTTTCTTTTACATTTTTATTTCCTTTGGCACACACTTTGCTTCCAAAGTGCCTCTTAAGAAGCGGTTCCTGAATATAGTGAATGCGTTTCTAAATCTAATGAGCTAACTACCTAGACAGCAGCTTTGTCCGAATATATAGATAGATATATCCTTTGCCGTCAATCATATCTCACAATCGCTGTTTGTTTGATTCTGTGACATTTGTGCAAAAAATAAAGATGGTGTCTGAAAGATTAAATTTGTGTTTAGTTTGTGTATAGATTGTATACACTTTCTTTCACGTAAATGCGAACAATCTTGCCATATATCTAAATTCAAAATTATTGTCTTTGACTTGTACAGAAACAGCGCCGATGAATCATGATGAAAGTTTGTTCAAAAATACTTTTTTGAAAGAAAATAATACTTTTTATTATACTGTTCTTTTGAATTTCTATTAAATAAAAAGTTAAACTTCCACAAAAATGTCAGGCAGGACAATAGTTTTCAACATTGAAATATTGAACACAAAATAAATTAAAAATGGAAAACAGTTATTTTAAATTGTAATACTATTTCACTATATTATTTTTGTATTTTTGTTTGAAAAACATTACAATAAAATCTTACCAAACCCAAACTTTTGAACGGTTTGGTACTTTATTGTTCACAAGGCTAATTCCTTAGAGCATGTCTCCCCAACCTGCTGCATAATAATACTTTGCATGAATAAATGTATCTTACGGATATTCAAATTGACAGATAGGTCTGTTGGCTCTGGACTTTTGGGTTGCACTCAAAGTGCCAGTTCCAGTTACTTCTGACACTGTACTGTGAGACCAGAGAGACATTTACCTCTCTACACTGACTCCATGAGAGGGAGCTAGAACTGAGTTTTTGTGGCTAAAGTGAGATTTTTGCTTTCAGTGTTTTCTGGTCTGGTTATTTGTACATGCACTTGGTTCTGATTCAGCTTTATACTGTTCTACACTCTTAAAGAACCTTAAATGGCTCTATCAGCGCTACGTATTTGGAACCCCTAAAAGGTTCTATACACTCTTAAAAGGATTCATATATAGAACCCTGGGGTTCAATACTTGGCCAATAGAAACTTTTACCAAAAAAAAAAAAAAAATGGTTCTATATAGAAAAATGATTCTAAAATGGTTCTATATATATTCTATATATGAAGCGGGGGATGGAACCATTTCTGCTTCTAAATAGAACCATTTCTTCTAAGAGTGTAAATGTAAAATGTGTGCTTTGACTCTATAGGCCTCTATTTGACTATATGAAATTGACTGTGTGAGAGGCACGATCAGTTTCTAAAAGCCTCAAATTGTTCTTTGTTCATGTTAAAAATCATTAAAAAAAAATTTGACTAAGCAGATTATCGTTAAGTAGTTTAACATTTACACAATTCCTCATGAAAATGCAATAAATAATATCCTGTTAAGCTGAGCACATATAAGCCAAATCTCAGTCAATGTGTCCCATCACATTAAGCATTAACACTGTGCATGGAACAAGATCGTCCCCTCCAAATAGTGTCTGCTTAATCAAACCTGAGCCTCTTATTAAAGTCACATAATTACCTCATCAAACTACCAGCATGTGTGAGGAACGGGTGCAAGATGCAGGCCTGGTTTGGTCTTACCAGAACTGTTGTAATAATAATAATGAACCAAATATATCTCTAATCTAAAATTATAGTTTTATGTAATAGTGTCAGCTAATAGGACATTGAACCTTTTAGAAATGGTATGCTATAAAGCTGACGTGTAATTTCTGTACCACTTCGGTCAACTCCCCTTCACACACACACACACACACATAAATAAAAAAGAGCATCAATTTGAACCTCATACATCCTAAATGAGTCTAAGCCGAATACCTAATCAGTGATGTGTTTGTGAGAGACGAACACTAATGTGATACGGATCAAATGTTGAGAATAGTAACCTCCACACAGAGTCACTGCGACAGGTGTTCATACATTTGACTACGCACATTTACACTCCAGTTGAAGAGACACTTCAGATGTGCAAAATGTAGCATTTACCATGCGATACAATGCTGTCCCAATTGTTAACATTAGTCAACATGAACTACCAATGAAAAAACATTGTTTTTTATTTCAACATTTATTAATGCACTTTGTATCTGTTAACAATATTTCACGGATCTGAGCTAACATTAACTAACAACGATAATTATTTGGTTATCTAATGTTAACAAAGACTAATAAATGCTGTTACAAATAAATTGCTCATTGTTAGTTCATTTTAACTCGCTAACTAATGAGACCTTAATATAAAGTGTTACTCTGCTAGTATCTTTTTTTCCTGTTGTAATTGCATGTATAAACTAAACACATCCGATGTATTGCATGGAAAACATAAATGGCAAACAATTAATAAAATAATTAACACCAGTGTGGCCTGAGTTAAAAATGATCAAACGGCGTGACTGTTAATGTGAAAGAAGAGATGTCAACTCTCTCTACTTTTTTAAAAGGAATTATTTGCTGTCCAGCTATAATAAGGACTCGAAACTGATTATATGTATATATGCAGTATATGACTGCAGAGTCTTCTGTAAACTTACAGCAGCTTTTGTGTGAGGAGCACTGAAATTTCCCCTTCCGTTATAGCTCAGAAAGCTCTGTAAAAAATAGAAATTCCCCCAATGAATGTCCCTGTCCAACAGAACTTCAGGTTTCTGAGAAGTGTCTGTCATCTGGAAACATGCATTTTGGATCTGCTGTAAGTAAAGTGTCAGTGCATTGTTTTAAATCTGTATCTCTTTGTGCGTGTAGTATCGGCAGAAAACCTTGAGAAGAGCCTGAGACAGATGGAGAAACACCTGCTGCAGTTGGAGAAGGATCTGGACACTCTCAGCTCCACAGACGACCACCAGGACCTGTTCCACAGCAAGATGGCAATATCCTTTCACACTTTCACACACACACACACACACACACACACACACACACACAATGTACAATTCTTTTTTTTTTGTTGGTTTTTTTTGTTGGTTTTTTTTGTCCGAACACACTATTCGCTGTTGTGCTGTTATCAACATTGTTAGTTCTCTTGCACATGGTGGCAACACATTTTCTGGCACCCTTGTCAACCTCACACACATTCACAAACACTAATCAGAGTTTATGTCGGCGTGTGCGAATAAATTATTTATATTGAACTTCACCGAGCTGCTTGTGAAACCTGGTTTGATAATGGAGTTGTACATTCCTGTACTTGCTCGTTAGTTCTTTTCCTTGCTGTCTGTCATTGCTCTCGAAATCATTTCCTGCTGTCTCCTTTGCAAATGGCAAACGTTTGAAAGCCAGACGTGTTGCCAGGGGAGATACCAGTGGCACAAACTAAACACTGATCAAAACAGATACCCTAATAATTGTCAATGAACTCTTCTTTTAGTGCATTTTGTACAGCTCTATGGAGCAGGTAGTCTTGTGTGGCTTCGTTATTCATTTTTCTTACTTGGGCTCTACTGAATGTTTTATTTTTTGCTGGTGTGCTTGCTGTTTCATGGGCAAAAAAACAGCTTTGACTTTATTGCTTTAGTGGGGTGCTCATGATCCAGTGAATTCCGGCAGTAGATGCACTGTGTTCTGGCCCGCCTGCTCTACCCTTCATGCTGTCCTAGCTAGACTCTACCAGGGGAGGTTATTATCTCACTCACCAGCCACATAGTGGACTGTCTTCCACCCTACGTCCCTCCTCCCATCCACACTGTTTTTCTCGGTTTATTTATTTTTCTTTTGCCTGAAGACTACTCTACTCTAGCCTTTAATTTTTCATTTTTAATAGCTACATTTAGTGCCTTGTCCCTACCGATATATTTTATGAATGCATTGAGAGCTACCCTGCTAGAGAGCATTTTGGGGTACTGTTTTTCAAATTTGAAAACACTGATGCCAAAAATATGCTCAATTTGCAGTGGTCTCTTACAAAGGCCATCAACGTTGCATTTATAAGTCTTGCGTAATAATGTGCTGAAATATTAGGGATGCATAATATATTTTTTAATTTATTTTAATTTTTTTTGGTTTTGTTTGTCATTTAGAATTGCCTTTGCCATCATCTAAAGCTCACGTAGTTCATTTAAAAAAAAAAAAAAACAATTTAATAACATTTAAGACCCCCACACCAATAACTATAACGATTTATATTAGCTTTCACATCAGAGGACGATATCATTGTTTATTTTAAGCAGTAGTCTGTCACTTTAAATGCTTTCGCTCTTAAAAAAAAATTGATTCTGATTGGCTGTCTGTGGTTTTATGATTCATCAGCTGGGAAAAACAAATCTTTCTGAAAGTGATTCCAACGATATTGTTTTACTATGCTATTATTGTTATTGAACTGTTTTTACCGTTATAGTTATCGTCCTTGGTGCGAATGGGCCTTTAAATATAATAAGGTGCAAAATGTAAAATGAATATTCATTTTGGTACAGTACACTGTCATGATGCAGATTATCAGTATTCACCAGTGTTGCATCTCTAAAAATATACAATCAAACCAGAGGCTGCATTTTATGGACACTACATGACAGTTTATGGACACTAAATGGCCCAAGGTACGTATATAAGCACCCGAATATTCTGCTATAACAGCGTATATCATGATGTTTTGCTATGGCCTATTCTACTGTAACTGACTAGGGAGACTGTTTATTGAATGCACCTGTTAGTATGCATGCATCTGAAATAGTACATTAGAAGGGAGTGTCCACATGCATCTGTGTGTGTCTCAGGTACTGCATTACGGGGTGTTTGTTAATAGTGTGTCTTTGTGGCATGAAAGTATACAGTATGAGAGTCTAACAAGCTCAGCTGTACAGGAATAAAATAGATGCTTTTCAATTCCTCTGCACAGAACTTGTGTTCAAGGGTCCATCAACCCCTCTTTCTCTCTCTCTCTCTCGCCCCCTCTCCATTTAGTTTAGCTCTGTCATTTAGAACAAAAACCCAGAACCCACATTCCTCTATCTTTCCTCTGTTACTGCTAACACCGCTCAGCTCCACAAGCACAGGCCCTTTTCTTTTCTCTGAGCTCTTAGCACCAGCAACCAGATCAGTATTAACGTTAATGAAGTCTTATCTCTCGCTCTCATACACCGTCTGTCCTTTCATTAGGTGAGCACGTCCCCTGCGCCTCATTCTCCATTCATATTTGGAAGGCGTGAATGAACTCGCAGTATAAAAGACAGCAGAGGAGACGCACAAAACAGATCTGTGTGTGTGTGTATGCCACCGAAAGAACTCCCAAAAGATTTCGTGTGTATGCCGAACAAGCTGTCCGGCCTGTCTGTCCTCCCTTATAATGTCTTCATCATAAATAAGTCATGAAGGACCTGAGTCCTGGAGTGAAATGTGTGGGTTAGAGTAGCTCTGTCCTGTCTCTAGAAACTCTCTACTATTTCTTTACTACTTTTTAGCAGAGTTCTGGCTAATAGTCGCTTTTACCTTGCCTTGGAAGAGCTGATTACACAAGTCAGCTGTTCAGGTGAGCTTACAAAGAAACTGTGGCAATCTAAGAAAGTAAGATGTACCATATTAATTTAGGAGTAAGATATATTTGATAGATAAAAAGCAGCATTATTTATAGCAATTAAGGAAAATTAGTAGTGATGTGAAGTACTGAATAGTGGTAGGTGAGGCAGCAGCTTCAAACAGATTCCTAATTAAAAACCACATCAAAGTTGAAAGTATTAGTTATTATATTTGAAGTAAAGCTTGCCATCTTTGCATAGGCATTCCTAACCTCAAAGCAAGGATTAGACCCAGATTCTCTCTTTCATGTCATGTGTGTAAGAGTCACAGTGTCAGTTCATGCATGTGTATGTGTGAGACATTACGCTAATGTTTGTTACCTACATTTTATGCGGTCCCCCTACGGGTTGGAAGCGGAATTGTCCATTACCGCTGTCGTTAATAATATAGCCTACCGCAGCCTACTGTCACACATCCAACGCTCACGCTCGCTGTTTATCCAGCACTGGCTTTGGAATCTACAATGGCCACAGACAATTCGAGGAAGTGGTGAGAGTAGTAAAGTATGCCATAAGCAGTCGAATTTCGTAGTTCTTTTTGTGCTCTGGACCAAGAGAGTCAGAGAGCAAGAGGACAAGTGAAGTGCTAAGAGACTTTTTAATGTGTGAAGATGTTACACCCATTTTCAAGTTAGGAAAATGTAATGTAAAGTTAGTAATAAATCACATGTTATATCATATATATATATATACATACACACACAGTATATATATATATATATATATATATATATGGATCCCCCATCCCTTTTTCTCACACCAGACACCAGTTCCCAGAATGTTATTTTCAGTGTGTGCACACATATGGCAGTGTTCATGTTATATGCAAGTGTAGAGTATTAATTAATGACACTTGCAACTATTAATGTTGCTTATGAGCAATTCCATGCAAATGTCACCTTACCATGAAAAATGAAGTTTTTACCTAAAGATCAAAACCATTTTTAAGTTGTATATTTAGTTATGTATTTTACTGCATTAATGTGCTTTGAAGGAAAATCCACCACATACGAGGTGTGCACCGATAGTAAAATGACATTTTCATCTAACATTCCATATTTTAAAAAGAGTTGGTTCTTGGTCAACTAATGGTCAACAATGAATTAGAGTGGCATTGGTCTGTTAGATCAAAACAATTTCAAAGACTGCATCTGTCTCTGATGTAGACTGGTTTACATTTATTTACATTTACATTTATTCATTTAGCTGATACTTTTATCCAAAGTGACTTACAATTGCTATATGTCAGAGGTCGCACGCCACTGGAGCAAGTAGGGGTTAAGTGTCTTCCTCAGGGACACATTGGCACATTGGCAAGGACACCAAAGGCATTTGTCTTATCCACTGCACCAGCACCGGTTTAGATTTACTTAAATGCAGGTCCCACACTGGTTACACTGAACAGCATGAGAGATGGCGTGAACACATGCTATATAATCACATGCTATTATCCATAACCATTTGCGGTACAATTTCAATTTTAATTTGATTAACTTAGAAGTTTTTAAAGCATTTTAAAGGCATTTTCATAGTCTAATTTGTTCCTCTTTCAGAACTGCCATGTCTGTAACACATAGATATTTTAATAGATATTATATTCATATGTTATGTTCTCTGGAGAGCCAACCCTTCTTCAGTTGGTGGATTTTGCTGGTTCTTGTTTACTGTAATTCACAGAAAGTCTACAAAATATGTTGTCTCCCAATAACTCACTTTTAACAAGTTTTTTTGTCATGTCCATAACGCATGGTGAATTTTGCTCCCCTTTAAAAAGTAAAAAAAAATATATATATATATATATATATATATATATATATATTTTTTTTTTTTTTTTTTTTCCTAGTCTTGCTAAGATCGTAATGAATTTTTGGTTGTTTGGTGTTGGCATAAGGGTCACCTTAAAAACATGGGCTTTGCAGAGATTTGCAGCCCACATGCTTCCATTCGATATGAATGCATGTGGGCTGCAAATAAATGTGGAACATAAACACTGGTTTAAATGACATTCTACAAGTACTTTCTAGCCATCTATAATTATGTGTGTTAAAGAATAAAATGCCTCTGTGTATACATGCTTTCCCAATAAATAACATGTTTTGCATTGGCTCCTACTGTACACACCACCACAGTTTTAATTGGATAAAGAGCAGTAATGGATAAAGCGCTTGGCTCTGTGCAGCAGTTTTAACCATAATAAAAATGAACTGGACTTTAACGTGAACTATTTATATGCTCTTATACGAAATGTGTCTGGGTTTTCGCATGTGTGGGCTCCACAACTTTAGCAAGTGTTGCATTAAAGGCTTGTAGTCATTCGATCAGGGATTAAAAGTTAATTGTTTTCATTTTGGTTCATTCTTAGCAGAAACTATGCTGAAGCTCTGGCATTTCACATCCTTTCCAAATGGTAACCTTTAGAATAAAATAAAAGATGAACTTTCCTTGCTTTGAAATGAGAGTTCAATAATAAACATAAATTGCTGTTGATGTATTGAACTTTTTTTGTGTATTTATGTTCAAAAGTGTAGAAGGATGATTGTTTCATTTGGTCATTGGTTTTGGGGGGTTAATTAGTTTCCTAAGATCCACGTTTTTTTTTTTTTTTTTTTTTTTTTTAATTATTCATTTAACCGAAGGATTACAAGAAAGAAGAAAATGTATTATTCCTTATAATGAAAATCTTGTTGACAACACGTTTTGGCATTCACTTTTCAATTCTGTTTTGTATACGTCCTTGACGGTGATTCCTCACAGTTTCTGTACGCAGGCGAGAGATCAGTACCAGAAGCTGATGACCATGCACAGGAATATGGTGACCCTTTACCTCAACATGCTGGAGTTTTTCGCCATCGACTCTAAGAAGACTTCCGTGGAGGAGCTCTTCACTGACCTCAGCAACTTCAGAGCCATGTTCATGGTAAGCCACGAGTCTATTATAATCATAGTCTCTATAACATATGAAATGGAGTCGTGTCAGTGGCCTGTCGAAACCAGCTTGTGTTTGCTGTATCTGCAGCTTTGCAGTAGCCTCACACCAGCTTTCAATGACTTTACAGGGAATAATCTGGCTCTTTCTCCTTCCAGCCTTGACCCTTTTGGCTCACAAGCCCTGACCTACTTGAACAGGAGGAAGGCTTGTGTATGTTAGCACAAATAGAGGGGGGGTATTTATTTAGTAGCCAAATATTGCTTGTCTTGCAACGATAGGTGCAGGTAATGCACACATTAAGACTGAGCGGAGTGCTTTCTGTCTCCACTTACTGTTATTGAGTGTGTGCGTGCGTTCACACATTCCCTTCATTCCCATTCTGAAGGTTCTAGTGCACTAATCTGACAAAGGAGAAGCCGCCTGTCTCCTTTATGAAAAGCCATTTGAAATGCAAAGTTATTTTCCACTTGGCTGCTACAGTGATGAGACGAATATCGTTGCCTTTATTATTTTAAATGATTTCATGATGGAAATGCTGAAATTTGGGGAATGAACTTACTGCGGGTCCACCATCAGATGCATGATAATGCATTCCTGCGGCACAGCTTTGAAACCTGTCCTCATTGCAGCAAGGGACACAGAACTTGCACTCTAGACGAGCAGCCTGTACTGTACTCTGTCATACTGAGTTTTCACACTCGCCGTGAAACAAGGCAGCAGAGAGCACGATAGGAGTTTTAATTAACTAAAATCAGTCTGAAAAATGTGGGATGAAAGGTGCAGGCTGTCATTGTTAAAAGAAGATTCTTGATTGTGTTTTTGCTTTATAGGTTTTAGACTGGGATTAAATGCTATATTTGAAACAAATATAAATGACACTGAGGGTCAGCTCATTCAATACGTGTAAAACTTAAAAAATAAAAATAAACTGTCAATTCATTGTCAACAATATGTTGTCTTAACCAGTGTTTTTTTTAAACCTGGGTCTTCTGAAAATAAAATAAAAAATAGAAAAAAATATTACAATGCATTATATTAATATTGGCTTAAAGACAATCATGTTGTAAATGACATTGATTCATTTAATATTATTAATATAAACTATTATATTTCCATTCATATTTCCATATATATACATCTGGCTTTAGAGCATTCACAATGTAAATTAATTAATTGATCTCAGTAACATCAAATGCATTTACAATCCAGTTGTATAATATGGCATATTTTAGAGTAAAACAACTTGGAACTGCGAGTTAAGGAAATATATGAGGGGTCAATTTTAGTTTCATGTTGACTTTAAATCTTGTTGGCTTCAAGATTTTAAAGGGGTGTAGCTGGATGCAAATGTTTCTTTCTTTCTTCTCCAACCCATTCTTCCTGCCCTGTGCTTCTCTTTCTTTCCTGTCCATTCTTCACCCTCATACAGAATGTCTCTCCCTCATTCTGCCCTTTTCCAGGTCAGTGAATTTTCAGCCCTCAGAAGCAGCTTGTTTAAATCAATGCTGAGGAGTGGCAGGGGACCAGCAGTAGAGCAGAAGGCTACAGGCCTTCACACACACTCACCTCACCACAACATCGTATGCACTCACACATTCCTGCACACCAAATAATCACACACATGCAGACATGCAGCCACGCATGCTTAGTCATCCTCTCAATAACATCTCTCTCGCTCGCTCTGTTCGGTTCTGACTGCTTTTTTTCTGCAGAATGACATTGACAGGATGTCTGCATTTTGATGGAGATTGTTTTTGGCTGCTGCCCCACTGATTCCCAGCAACACGGGCACATATTTGACACACATTCCTTTCTTTCTCAACCTATTTTCTAGGGATGCACTGATATGAACATTTGGCCGATACCAATAAGTCTTTATATTTGAAAGCAGATAAACGATATATATTGGCCGATAAATCTAAATTAAATAAACATAATATACTGTATATGCTAAATCAAATATTGTATTAACAAAAGCTATTGCTCTCTGTTAGTGCATGTTTGTTAATGCATTATCAAATGAGACCTTGTTGTAAAGTATTACCCCAAAAATCTATTGCCGAAAAAATAAATAAATAAGTAAAATACCTAAATAATGGAAACAAGTTACTGGGTTACATTGGGCTGCATATAAAGAAACAAAGTACCATGGATATGATGGAATCACCTCTGCATGGACAATAAGGACATTATTTTAATCAAACCATATTGTTGATGAAAATAATACGAGAACAAAAAAATAAATGCCAGTTATTAATAACGCATCAATGTTTTTGAAAAACAAAACAAAAACATATTTACTATTACAGTAATGGTTAACATAGAAATGGTTTACAATCCCTCATGGCTTGTTTAAATGAACTTAAGCTTTGGCTGTTGTGTAATTTTCTAAACTGAAACAAAAATAAAACTGAAATAATTTTATTTGGACCCAAAGAAAACTGTGTTTTTGATGTTGACCATGGTATATGACCATATTAAATGCGCTAGAAATCTGGGCTTTCTATTCGATCATAACCTAAAATTTGATAAACAGATCAGTATCGGAATGCTTTTTCATCTTCGCCAACTCTTTAAAGTGAAACCTTTTTTTTAAACCAAGAGTAGCTTCCAAACAGTGATCCATGCTTTTGTTACATCACGTTTAGATTATTGGGACTCTCTTTATATTGGTATCTCTTAGTCTTCCCTCTCCTGTCTACGGCTAGTGCAGAACGACTCCTCACTGGGACCCGGAAGTTTGAGTCGATCACTCCTATTTTATCCACACTGTGCTGGCTACCTGTCAAATTTAGAATTGATGCTAAATTTTATTTTTGGTTTATAAAGCATTCAACAAATTGGGCCCTCAATACCTGACTGACCTACTTCACCCGTGCACTCCCTCTAGAAGTCTGAGATCCTAAACCTTGGAACAGTCTATCTCTCCACATTAGATTAGCCCCATCTGTTTCCTCCTTCAAATCTTCTTTAAGGACATTTTATTTTATTTTTTTGGCCTTTAACACTGTTTAAATTTAGATAATTATTGTTTCCCTTTATTGTTTGTTTTATTATCATTACTTAATTTTTTATTCTGTCCTGTACGTCACTTTGGTCAGCCTTGGTTGTTTTTAAATGTGCCTAATAAATAAATAATGTATTGTAATTGTTTTAAGCAGCAGTTAATTATGAGGCTAAAGCTCAAGAGAGTCTCACAAGCTTTGCCAAACCTCTGAATCACACTCTATAATCCTGTACCATGGGAGTTGCTGTGCAACAACCTCTCTTTCATTTCTACTGTTGACTTTTAAACTTTAACTGGCAGCTCTTGCATAATCAGGAAATGGCCAAAATGTTACACACAGGCACACAAACACATCAAATCATTGAAGTGTTGTCACAGCCCTCCTCATAACAGACTGACCAGTTGAACGTTTTGTCGCATGCGGTTCATTCTTTGTGATCCCCATCGCTAACACTCTGAGAGATGCTTATGTTGGACATGCCCTCGCTCGCTCTGAGTCCCTTGTGTACAAGGTGCTAGTCATTTTACATTGAACTGTGTGTTTCAGAGTCTTTTAGCGTGCGCGTGTATGAGCGTTCCCCCTCTCTGCTCACCCACCCGTTTGAAATAAACCAGCAGCAGTTCGGCAGTGCTGACAGGAATCCAATTGACCGTGGCTAATGGCAGACAGACAAGGGAGAGTGGGTGAACACGGGATGACCTGCAGGCAGAGAAAGAGAGAACAGGATGGAAAATGGGCATCCAACCATCTCTCCTTGGCACAACCCATAAAGCGAGTATTCAAGACTAATAATCGCTATTTATGATGTATTAGGTTATTAAAATGCGTATAGTGTGCTATGAGAGCCATCAGTGCAGTAAATACAGGATTTATTATAGTTCATCTCAATGATAATAGCCCTGTCACAAAATTTAACAAGCTGCCTGTTTGGATTACTTTATATATATATATTAGGGATGCAACGGTACACGGTAAAATCCCGGACCGTTCGGTCAGCCCTGCACGGGACAATCTAACCTCGTGTCCCGCGGGACTTCGGTTCTGCCATAGAGTTCGTGCTGATCCTTTAACCGTATTTTCCGCACTATAAAAGGCGCACTTAAAAGCCTTTAATCTTCTCAAAAAACAACAGTGTGCCTTATATTCCAGAGCGCCTTACTATATATGGATCAATTAGTTAACAACGCTCCGCGTTATTAAATTCGCCCGCGAACTCGCGCTCGTGTCCAGCTTATGCCCGCTTTGTCACACGGCCAGTTTAACCTCGTATAAATCAGGTTATGTGTGTGTCGCTCACGAGCGCTCACTCTAACAGACACACGAACAGACCGGCGCTGCTCGCGCGTCATAGATGTTCATAAAGCGCTCCCCGTTCACACGGGTCGTCTCATTCAAAACAGCCAACTGTTGTTAGTGAGCCGCCGCACATTGAATACTCATATGAGTCAGGCTGCGAATGTAAGTTACGTGCCCGCCCCAGCGCGCTCACGCTTACTAAATAAACGCCTCACCTCCGGCTCCGTAGCCTACTCTCTACATTCCCAGCACATAGTGGATGCATAACGCAAACCCAGTCAAATGTTTGACTGCAGTATATTTTTGCACAAGAATCTCTCAAAAGTGGATTAGTAACATTGCACTTTGTATCCTGAATGCAGTATTTTTTTTATTATATTATTTTGCTCTGCTCTTTTTATTCAAACCACAAGCTAATTTATGTTAAAGGTAAAAGTGCACTTTTTCTTTCACATTGATCACTTCATTTACCAGTTATCAAGGTTTGGAATTGGGATCCACTTGAATATTTTAAAGTGTGCTCGTTTACATTTTGTATATCATAAGTGGTAGTTGAAGAGGTTGTAGTGCTTAGTGTTGTCCAGTACAGACTAGACTAGAGTGTTAATTTATTCCATACACATTGATGTTCTTCCTACTGTGACATTCTGTTTATGCTCATAAGAAAAATAAAACATATTTTTG